GTAGAAGGGCCGGGTCCCGTGGAGCGAGGGGCCTGTCGAGTAAAGGGGCCAGCGTTGGGGCAATTGGTCTGTTGATGACCAAACTGGCGGCAGCGAAAACACCCGTTGTGTTCCTGGAGGTGTATGCGTTCTGTGGGTGTGAGTTTGTGGAGGCGATGGGGTGGGGAGGAAGAAGGCAGTCGGGAGGCACGATCCTGGCGATCCATCCGTATAAGGGGTGCGGTCTTGAGGTCCTCAATGGTGAATTGGGAGGGGTCGAGAGAGGCAGTGTCGAAGTCATCATCGGAGGTGGGTTGAGTGGTGTCGTTATGGAAAGAGAGGGGGCGGGAGGGAGAGGGCGCGGACTGCAGATGGGGGTGGAGTCGTCGATCGTGGTGGAGCATGTGAGAGAGGAGGTCAGCAAGGGGCATGTCGGGTTCGTGGGCGAGGGCGGTTGCAAAGTCTTTATGGCATACTCGCTTGATGCGGGAGATGAACGCAAAGTCGGGAATGACGGTGTGGGGGAGGTGGTGGCGGAGGGAGCGGACGTATTGGATGAAGCGGTTCGTGGGACCGGTCTGGCGAAGGTGGCAGAATTGTTCAAGGTAGTCGTCAATGGTTTTCTGGGGGCGGAAGGTGGCAGTGAGAAGTTTGGCCCAGTGGAGGAAGGAGTGACGTGGTCCTCCGGAGGCTCGGCGGTTGCTGACTTCAGCCATCCACCATTTGGCGGCATTGCCAAGCAGGCGGGAGGTGGCAATGGGGAGCCAGTGGGCAAGGGGCACGTGGTGGAGGTAAAAGGAGTTTTGGATCTGGGTTAGGAAGAGGAAAACATCCTCGTGGGGGAGGCCGGAGAAGGACACGATTTCGCCGGATCGGAAGGAACGGGGGATTTCCCCGTCGCGGGAAACGATCTGGGCGAGGGTGTTGAAGCTGAGGTTATCGGGGGTGGTGTCGTAGCAAGTGTAGTCGATTTGGTTGTTGTCCTCAACGAGGTAGTTGGGGGGGAGTCGTGGCATTGCGGGGTAGACCCCGTAGGTGACTTGGGAATAGGTGGGACGGATGGTGGGGATGGTGGAGGTGGTCATGATGGGTTGGGAGAGGGTTTGGGAGTGCGGGGGGGGAAGAGGGGTGACTTTGATGGGCGAGGAATGAGGCGGTGTGCTGGATGCGCCGGATGAGGGAGGAGGTGGAGGGAACGGAACGATGGTGGGGATTGAAGGGTTGGTGGATATGGCGGTAGAGGAGGTCGGCGGGGGGGTGTTGCTGGAGGCGGCTGTGGAGGTTGGAGTGGTTTGCGCTGTGGAGGTTGGAGTGGTTTGCGCTGTGGAGGTTGGAGTGGTTTGCGCGGTGGTGACGACCGTGATGGAGGGGATGGTCCCTTCGATCGTGGTGACGCGGTCGCATAAGGACGATATGTTGGCCTTTATGTCGTCGAGAGAGGCGGTGACGGAAGTTTGGAAGGTGTTGAGAACGTGGAGGATGGCAGAGAGGTCGGGTGTGGCGGTGTTTGCTGGTGGTTGTTCGCCTGCGAGGTTGCGGGCGATGCTGTCGACTGAGGCGGTGCGGATGTCAGACATGTTGATGGAGGATGCGGCCATGTCGGGGGAAGAGGGGATGGAGGAAGTGGCCTGAACGGGTGTGGAAGATGCAGCAGCAGCGGTGGCGGCGGCGGCGGCACGTTGGGAGTTCTTGGTTTGGCGTGGTGGCATGTGGAGGGTGGGGGGGGAATCCC